TCTAATATATATAGTGACAATTATCTGCAGTAATGATTAGCAATCCTCTTATAATATTACATAAAATTAAAATTTTATTAAAATTTTTAAAATTATATAATACTATATATTAAAATTTTAATATATTTATATTTATAATTTATTTAATATTTTAGGTATTCAACAACTTCCTAGTAATATTTGTAATAATATATTAGATATATTATCTGAAAGATGAATAAAAATATATCATTCTATTTTAAAAGTTATATATTTATTAGATCCTAGATTTGTTGAACAAAATTTTAAAGCAGATAGAATGTTAGTTATTTCAGATTTTTAGAACAATATTATTTAGATAATGCAAAAATTATTTATACACAAATACTTTAATACAAATTACAAACTGGTCTATTTCAAAATCAACTTGCTTGAAAAACTATAAAAAATATTGATTCAAATATATGGTGTCAAGGCAATTTTAAAATATCAGCTTCTGAACTTTATAACTTAGCACAATGAATACTTACAATTCCAATATCTTTAGCTTTTTCAGAACGTAACTAGTCAGCATTTAGTTATATATATTACAAAAAAAGAAATAGATTAAGTCCAGATAAAGTTTTTAAACTTGTTTATATTTATAGTAATTATAAGTTAAAATTAATACAAGAAGAAAGAAAAAATAGAAATTTTGATAGCAATTGTGATTTAAATACTATATTTGATAATTTAAATCAAAGTGATAGTGATAATAATATTTGTAGTGATGAAAATATTTATAATTTTGAAGATGAAAATCTAGAAGAAAATAATGAAGATATGAACAATAATGATTAGTTTAAATAATTTTTAAATTAAAAGATTTAAATATTTAAATATATATTTATTATATTTTAGTTTATAAATATATTTAGTAATATATTATTAACAAACAACTTTTTCTAATGATCCCTTGGTCAACAACAAAAAATTGAACTATAATAAAAAGTTATAGAAAAGCGACAAAGTAGACACCACGATATTCTTGCTACACACTTACTTGCTGTCAATAAAACTTATATATGTAAAATACTAAGAAGCAGACATATAACAAAAAGTGGGTCTAGTATCTTAGATCAAGCTTCTTTTTTACAAACTGTTGTTGATGAAGTTCTTAAACGTAATATACTGAGGTGCAGGCATTATGGATGGTTTGTACAGAGGTTAAGCCTTTTTATTTTGTGTAGTGAACTCCTTTGTGCATTTGGCATCCAAACCAGAAAAGTCTCTGAGAATAGCAAGAAAAAAGAAGTGGACTCTCCTATACCTTCAATATTCAAACCAAAAGGATATTTTGAAAGCAATGTCATTGTTGGGTCTCTGTGCAAAAATATCAAGTAAAAACAGAGAAACTGGACTATACTACTGTAACTCTTATAAGAAGAATCTTATATACTTTCATTGGCCCACCACTTTTTTTTAAGAAAATTTTTGTAAAAAGTAGGTGTTTCAGTTTACCTTCTCCAAAAAATCAATATCATATACACCAAAATAGTCAGCATTGTTTACTTTTCAAATCAGTATAACAAGACAACAAATACATTAAGACACATGCCTCAAATGCAACAATCTGATTAAACAATATTCTACAATTTGGATCGAGTACCGATCCCCTATATTTTACAGTTGAAGAAGTATTTTTTTACTAGTTTTGAGCTTTTATATACAATGTAGATAAATTTAGAGTAGGGACTATTTTATTTAGTAGATATAATTTTTTATAAACTTTTTACAGGCTCATAATAGTGATCATTAGGATAGGCAAATTTCTTTTTTATTTGATATTCCCTTACCCTTTTTCTTTCTTGCTTGTATCTTTTATTGTATTTTCCTTTTATCTCTGTTTTATTTTTTTTTTGTATTTGTGCTTTTGCTAATTTGGCTCTTTTGATGAAGCATGCAGCTGCTAGAGCTAAGAATCAGAGGGTTCATATTCTCAGTAAGTTGAGGATCCAATATGAAGCTAATTGCTGCTAGGTAGGTCATCTTTGAGTTTAACTTGAATTGATCTTTACTCATATGAAATATAGTATAGAAAATTGTATCTTCTTGTTGATATAAGTTCTGGTACTTCTCAATAAAAGAGTAATAGGCAGAACCACTGAATTAAAAAAAAAATAATATATTATTAAGATTTTTTCCTTAATTATATTGAGGTTTTTTTTCTCTTAATATATATATAATTATATATATTTTTTAAATTATATTTTGTTAAATTTTATATATAAATAAATTTTATTTTAAAATTAAATCTAAATACTAATACAATAACTAGAAAGTTTAATATATAATATTACTAAGATATTTAAAACAAATATATTAAATAATCCATATAAAACTTAATATAAATTTTTTTTAATAAAATATATATACTATACGGTATGTACTGTATGTACTGTATGCGAAAAAATTGGGCTATCATAAAAATGGCACATCACTAGCCCAGATCTATTGATTGCTGAAAAAACGTGATCATTGGATTATTGTGCCACAAAATACTATAACCATTTAACTTATAACGATTGCAAAATCGCGATTATAGGATTATTGATTGTTTTATTATAGGTATTTATAGTTATCTATATACTGATTATTAGATAAAAGGATAAATGACGCTCTGGTTATAATCATTTTTGCTTAAATATTGTACAAAAAATAGCGTTAAACTAGCATAATTATTTATAAGGTGAAGAAGTTTTAACAGAGTAGCTCTCTAGAGCTGAATGAGCATCCATATTAGTAAATATCATGACAATTCGCTGTGCTTTACTTGGCATCATAATTGTTTGCTATAACAATAAGCAACTTTATACAAAGAAAATGAAATTTATTAAATTTAAAAATGTTCTCATTTATAATTACTAATTTCCAATCGACCTTACATTTTTTTATGCGTTTATTAAGTGTACATTATTGGACAGATGACAAAAAATAACAGTCAATTTTTTTTTTGTCGTACGAATGTTCAATAATGATGTTATCAGATAGTTAATATGACAATGTGAAGTTTTTTCTGTGATATTTTGCAAAACTGATTACGTAATTTCATGTAAAAAATGCACATCTGAAATCTGTGACAGGTTATACCAATGATGTCAATTATTTGACTGACTATACTACTAGCGATGATTATTAGACATATATATTATTGTACAGTATCATTGATCTGATCAATGATTGATTTCTATTAGTAATAAACGAAATAATGTTTTTTTTTTCTCTACCTCCCTTTCTTAAATGGGTTTATTTCTTTCTTTGGTTATATGAAATTGTGGTAGTTTTCATAACGTTTATTGAACTAAAAAGCAATAGAAAGTAATAATGATAATGCTGCGGAAAATTTGTTGTAGGTTAGAACCTGTATCTACTATATTGGATATTAAAATTTTCCATATTAAGTTTATAGAATAACAATAACCTAGTTTTGTGTAATATATAACGATAATTTATAACTATTAATAGGTTTTTACTTGGAATTCTTTACCAGAAGTTCTAAAACCTGTTCTTCCACATAATTATACGTATCTAATTCAAAAATTCAATCATATGCCACCATTTCAAACACAAGAGAGCTTTGAGGTTCCAAATTTCGAGCTTATTGTGTTTGTGAATATTAATAACAAAGAAGATACGTCTAAATGGGTTTCAGAGTTCCAATCTTATTCTAAAACCACAATGTCTCAAACAAGAGGATATAAAATTACAGGAAACCGGGTGCTTTTTCAGGAAAGTAGGCATTGTATTCATAGCCATCAAGTGAAGAAAAAACAGAGAAATGTAGAAGTAAAATGACTGAAATCGTCTCGAGCATATGATATTTGCTGCACTGCAGTTGTTCATCTAAGATTGGAATGTAGATGACTTCCACTTAGTTATTCTTTTGAGTTTGATTTGAAATATACACACAATCACGTTGTCAATTCAGCAGAATCTTTGAGCTTTCAACGTGTAAATGAGGAGGTTTAAGAAAAACTATTGAACCTTTTTAGAGATGAACATACACCAGCCTCAGCATTGTACGTTTATCAAGATAACCTTTATTTTAAAGCAACAAATAAAAAGGATTTGGTTGAAATGTTTGCAGATAGATCAATAAATCCGGATTATGATTACACTGCAAAACTTTTTCAAAAATATCGGGAAGCAACACTTGGTAGTAAAAATGGTAAATCAATGTTTGAACGACTAGTAGAGATTGTCAAAAATTATAATGATTCGGGTCAGGAAAAAGCCATCCTACAAGAATACGATGCACAGACTGAGAAGGCATTTATTCTCTGCATTGTAACTAGCCTTATGTATCGAATATATGAAAAAATTTTTCAGCCGGGAGAGCTTTGCTACGTTGATGCATCAGCCTCATTTGAACCTTTAAACACGTCGATTACTCTCCTTTACACAAGCTGTGCGGTCGGAGCTCTCCCACATGGTTTGTTTGTCACTTCGGATGAACTCAAAATCATGTTAGAAAAAGCTGTAAGAATATTAAAGCTTTTAATAACGGTCTATATATCACACTCATAATAGTGAACTCTTGATCTCAATGTTTTCAAAAACTTTCAATATAGTGAATTTTTAAAAATTTTTATTAATGAAACAAACAGATTACTTCACTTTAACGAGTTTTAAATATATCACTTTAGTTGGTTTCAATTCCAAACAATTTTCAACTTAACTAATTATAAATAGTAATTACTAAACTAATAAATCTATTTAATAAATTTAGTTTAATATGTTAAAGATAATACTTCCTTCATATGCATTCCACGGTCGCAGGCCACAAACAGGTCTAATTCTTTTTCTTACAGACAATTCTAGCGCAGAAAGAAATGCTCTTGAGTTATGCTATCCAAATGGAATCCGCCTATTATGCACATTCCATCTTTTACAAGCTTTTTGGAGATAGATTTATGACTCGAGGCATAATATTCAAAAGAAGGACCACACAACTATTATGATGAAAATGAAGAAGATTGTTTATGCATTATCAAATTCGGAGATGGGGATATTCTATCAAGAATTCAAACAAGAGTTTTATACTACTTACCTACTACTTACCTACAATTGCAAAAACATTTCGAACTTCTATGGAACGCAAATGTTTTTGGGCTCATTCATATCATTTAAGATTGCCTACATATGGAAACAATATGAATAATTACGTGGAAAGGAGCTTTGGAATATTAAAGGACATAGTTTTTGCACGAACTCAGGCGTTTAACTCTGTTCAAGTGTTTCAATTCATTACTGTAAATATGGAGATGTTTTATAAGCAACGCTTACTGGACTTTGCA